TTAATTACATTACATAATACATATTAATAATTTTCAAATGCTATTATTGCATATTTCAAGATTTTGGATACCAACATTGTTGAAATTACTATCCAAAAAAATCCGGGATACCAGATCTTTTGGGGGGATACCAGATTTCAATACCTGGTATCCCGAATGGATACCATAATAAAAATCTAATTTCGACCCCTGATGTGTAGTGCTGATCAGCCAGTGGAGCCATCTGTGAGTTTTTGATTGTACACTAATATCAAGAGCGTATTATTACTATTAAGAAGGAGAGCGTACAACGGTGAAATGCTGAAACCATGTTGCAGTATTAGTCGAATTAAGAAACTGGCAGTTTTATTTTGACGATTCTTTGCGGTAGTATTGATCAGCTGTCCTACCTTGCTAATATAAAACAAACCGCTTGTCCCTACGATGCTCCTACGCTGAGATAATGAGCAGTGAAAATCTGGTATTTTTGCCGAAAACCGACTCGAGATCCCGGGTTGGCTGCGACCCTCTCTCGTTCTGTGGCCAGTATGTTGCTTCCGGTCGCCGCTGTGTAGAGCCATGGTAGCGCTGACTCATTACTTCAGTACTACAGAGTTTACTACATCCAGCGTGAGGTGGGCACAGGTGGGGGTCATCACTATGGCAATCAATAACAGACGTCATTCATTCCATTTGTCAATCATTGACGGAAATATGCGAGGTTTCCCGAAGCTATCCCAAAGCGAGAGAGGGTCGCAGCCAACCGGGATCTCGAGTCGGTTTTTGGCAAAAATACCAGATTTTCGCCGCTCATTATCTCAGCGTAGGAGTATCATAGGGACAAGCGGTTTGTTTTATATTAGCCAGGTAGGACAGCTGATCAATAATACTGCAAAGAATCGTCAAAATAAAATGGGAAGTTTCTTAATTCGACTAATACTGCAACATGGTTTCAGCATTTCACCGTTGTATGCTCTCCTTCTTAATACGCTCTTGCTAATATTGATCCATCACTGCATCATTGGTTAAAAGTGGTAAAACTTGGATATTGCTTATGGATCTCCGAATTATCTGATCCACCGGTGAATAAGTGGTCGCTAGAGGGTTAACAATGGTCAGCTGGTACCGTGGATGAAAGTGCAATGATCAGTTAGTACTCGACAAAACATTGATCAGGCAGCTGCAAAGTAGCATTCAATCAGTATAGTAGATAGCAATTGGGCAGTCAATTGGCAATATTTAACATAAACTGAAGTATATTCAACTGGTACTGTGGAGGAGAATAGGTCCACCACTCTCCGGTAGTGCTATAAAGAACAAAGCAACTACGACATATTACAATGTTTTCCTAATAATTCCTATTAATGATATCTAACGGTCTTCACTAATTATCCAGTAAATGGTAGATACTCACAGGTACTTGTTGCACCTCCCCTGTGCTGGTCACCACCTGCTGTACAACCTGTGTCTGACCCTGTGAGGGAAGCTGAAGAATTTGGCTTGCCTGCGTCTGTTGCTGTACTGCCTCTGCCTGTACACAAATGTAAACAGCTAAGAACCGGACAGCAAGAAGTAACAGGGAATCACGTGCATACTTCGACTGTTGATAGGCGGGCTTACGTTAAATAAAGAACAGGCCGACTGTAAACCACCAGCAATGACAGCCTCGTCTGAGAGCTACATGCAGTTATCTAATGCGTAAACTAGATTGACTTACACCATGCTAAACTCTCTTCCCAAAACTTATCACCGAAATTTAGGATGTGTTGCACGTGATGGCTAAAATCATTGATAACGTGCTCACCTCTGCAGGTTGTTGTATTGCGACAACTTGTTGCTGAGGCTGGGGCTGTTGTTGTTGCTGCTGTTGCTGCTGTTGTTGCTGTTGCTGCTGTTGAAGCGCTGCATTCGTCTGCTGGGCGAGCGAGAAGTAGTACTGCACTTGTTCTGGCATCATTGAAGCCTGCCGTGACCCTTCCTCCTGCAAAACAACGCGAAAAAGGCATTCTAATCCGAGTACAATTGCCATCAAAACTCGCTAAACATTTTTTTAAATTGTCATTTAAAAGTATATTCATATCACAGTAAAACTGACATGAGAACTCACTACAAACAACATCTCCATTGCTATTGAGTTGCAAGAGTTATAGTAATCCGTATTATTTCTACAGTTCACATGTCAATTAGAAATTACAGAAAATTTTATTGTTCACACACTCTTCAACAGCAATAAGACAGTACCCTTTTGGTTGGTTTCATTTCTTCTCTTGGTACAATGTCAATAAGAAAGTCAAACTGATCAAACTTGGAGATAGCCATGGCAATGTCATTTCTCTGAAAAGAGGCAAAACATATTATTACTATTGCAATTTTGTATCACGCTCTTCAAAACACAATTGACAACTGCACCATCGCATTATTTGAGAATGAATAAATAATAGTACCAAGTATAATAATTACTACAATAACAACAATAACAATAAAATAAATAATTTTGTTAATATATGATATGTATTATGTAAAATAAATTACATTTTTACAATGATAAGTATAATAACTATGATGACAGTCACGAGGGACAATTGAAGAATGATTGCAACATGCATCACACCTGCAGTGTACGTCGCTTGTTGTCCTCCGTGTGTATCCACGCTCGCAGTGTCAGCTCTTCGATGAACATCTCAGCGGCCTTCGCGAACAACACTGGGGCTTCCGCGCTAATCATCTTCACATCCTCATCGAGCTTCATGATTTTCTTTATGCGAGCAAGCGGCAGCTCCTGTACCTTAAACTCGCTCTGCAATATGCAACGAATCATTAGCCTCCTACACTACCAGGCTTCTTCATACACCGTAGGGAAAACATTTTTCCAGGACTTTACCAGGACTTGGAAGGTTCCTACTTTAGGACCTCAAAATTTACACCAAATACAATATTTGTACAACATATCTTTGAATGTACAATTATTGAAGAATTTCTTGCCTCAGGCAAAACGTGTTGCTTCTCAGACAGTAAACATGGCTTACCTTCAGTATATTACATTTCTTATTATCATTGGTGAAATTCTGACAATTTTCAGGACTTTCCAGGAGCAATCATACTAATATCTTATTTTTAGAAGTTCTCAGAACTATTTATCATAATGACCTATTTTCTAGGAATCCCTAGGACCGAGCTCATTTTCAAGAACTAGATAAATCTTATTTTCAAATCCAGCACTTTCCAGGTTTTCTAGGACTCATGTACAAACTCTGACTACATGTACCATGTGGTGCGGTGAAGAATTTATGTGGGATATAAGGAGAGAAGGGCAGCACAAGTGTAGGATCAGTGCGGAGGCTAAAGACAGGGTTGGGATAAGGGGCAAGGTAAGGCAAAATGGATAATGTACATGCTTAGTAGTCGGCTGTGAGGTTGGTGAAGCAGCGATAAAAACCTTATTACTAAAGCTAAGTAACTAGCTGGGGCCCTTAAATTATTGTAGGGATCGCAGAGATTGAACAATTGACTTCATGAGGCTTAAAGCTTATCTGGTCACCTCGACAACATTCTTACACCAAACACAACATGACAGACGAAAAGTATACTGCGATTTTTAACTTGAAAAAATTGCAAGGTGTAAAACTAGATGTATTGACCAAGTGTAATACCCAACTAGTCTAAAGTACACCTAGATGTATGAATACCACACTTACTTGACCATAGTTTCTTATTTTCTCAAGCTGCTTTGGCCAAAAGTTCTGTAACTCTTGCTGTGCTTCCGTAATGGCCTGTGTTCCAGTGGCTCCATCTGTAGTGAAGGTCCCATCATTCTGGATATCTCCCATGCCTCAATATTCAAGTCAGGAAAACTTTTCCCTGATGCACTTTATCGAATAAATAAGTGTCTGTAGACCAGTACGCCTTGCCAAAATTTCAGTCAGTTACCTAGTAGAAAAGGACATGGAATAGCACATTAGAAGTTTATGATATATAGCTAACAATTTATCTATACAGCACCAGCAGCAGAGTTACACATTTGTAACAGCTCCAGCCTTAATACTCTGGAATGAGCAAGCAACCCATAGCCACTGACAATGATCGTAACTTTGGGAAAATATTGTTTTTAAGGGGGTTTTCTTACTTTCACAAAATGAAATATATTTAATATTTTTGAGCCTCTGATAGCCATGAAGCAGATAGCGAAGAACTAGAGCAAACGTTACGATTTTGTTCGTCTAGTTTGCATCCCTTGATAATTTGTCCTTGATCTTTGCATAAGTACCTTAGGACATGAAAATGTTGAGGTTACCAGCCATCTGTCATAGTATTTACCATCTCATGGTAAACTGGTTTTTCTGACTAACAAAGACGAGTAAATCCATATAAAACCAATTTCTTTAAAAATGTAAGCTTTGAAAAATATTGTACACGTGTTTTGTCATGTACCAACAATACACACAAATTTGTTGGATATCCTATAAAAGATAATAATTTAAGAAAGAGTGTTGGTGTGAGTGCATACACATTATTTTCGAAGTCGCTGGAGGTACGGTAGCCGTCGTTCGTTAAAGCCCCTTTTTGGCGTTTGTTTGAGGTCTGAGGCAATTATTTGCGATCTTCTGATGTATAGTTTACAACAATGTCCATTTTCATACCTAATCCGAGTGTTTTCTAGCTCATCAAAACTCTCAAATCGTGCATTTATTTCCTAAGGCATTATTTTGAAATCTGCCGCCATCCGCCGCCATATTTGTCTCATTTGTATGAAAGCAAATGCAGGGTTTCTTATATGCCCCGAGGGGTACAGTGGCGCATCACCATTGTCAAATTTAACATAGCCGTTGTGAAATTGCTCCTGTAATAATTTTTAACATTCAAATTTTTTAAATGTTGCTGGGGAGACCTCCAGAAGTTAGAACCCCCTCCCAGTGAGAGGGGACTTCCACCTCTCCCTCTCTCCCCCCCCCCCACCGTGTCTGCCTGCAGCGTCCGCGTGCCGTAGGCACGTCTTTAAATCCATCATCCTTCCCCAAACTGGCCATTACCTCCGTTGTCTAATTTTCCCTCAGAAGAAACCCTGGAATGCCATGCCGTACCTCCAGCCTCGTAAATTGGGGATACAGATGCCGTACCGGCCTCCAGCCACTGCCTATAAAATTTAATTTAATTTTTGGCAGTAAATACAATTTGTATTTATTTACCATCATTTTATCCCAACACGAAGTGCATGTGTCCACTTGTAGGGCCTAATCCTAGTTTAGCAACCCGGCTTAGTTTAGCTCTGGTTTAGCTCATAAGGTCTATGTCCCCCAGGGTACTGCCGGAACGTACCCTGGTAACTATTTAATATGGTTAGGGTTAGGGAGTAGGCGTAGGCGACTCCCTAGAATCGTTAGTGGAGTAGGCGAGGTACAGTCCGGCATATTAGATAGTACCAGGGTACGTTCCGGCAGTACCCTGGAGGACATAGAGCCTCTCAGCCTTAGTTTAGCAAATTTGCGAAAATGAATTGGGGACAGCTCTTATATCCTTGAACCACATCATCGCCAGTGTCACAAACTTACAAAGGACAAAAACGGCAATGTTCGAGAGAGCAGTAGCCTGAGTAGGCCCTAACCACAGACACTTGAAGCATTTCAATAAAATATAATGCTAAACAAGTGATACCTTTTTTTATATCTATAATTGCCGGACAGAACGGCAGTTTCATTGAAATTTCGGTCGAGATCGCATGCAAAAGGCTATGCCGCTAGAATGGGCCCATCAACGCCGCTATGGCGCCATTTACAAACAATCAGACAATCACTAGCGAGTCTATCAGGCTCTGCCACCGCCACAGAATACAGCTGAGAACAGCGGCTATTGTAAGAACTGCGCTCTGACTGATTGCCGTCTGGATTGATTGCTTAAATGGCAGATGCTAATTTAGGAAAGTTGAACGAAGCGGTGTTTATGAAAAACAATTTTAAGAAGTGAATATCGCATTGAAGCTGAATGTAACACATATAGCTAGCAGGTAAAGCCATGTAGAAGGGAACGTTAGATAGGTTTTTTTTCGCCGCCAATAAGCGGCGTACTGGGCCCGCATTCTCAGCGCGCATGCCATTTTGGCATGCGATCTTTCACGAAATTTCAATGAACCCCGTTCTGTTCTCAATATAAACCCTCACCAAAATATTAAAAGGTTATTATGGACAAATTATTCGGTCATGCCGGAACGTTACCCTGCGGTACGGTCGCGTTATTACGCGCGAACGTAACCTGGTCAACTATTTGACATATGGCTTTTAGGATTGGGTTAGCGTTAGGCGAGTAGGCGTGTAGGCGACTCCCTAGACTCGTTAGTGGAGTAGGCGAGGGTACGGCCTGCATATTAGATAGTACCAGGGTACGTTCCGGTATACCGGACCGTACCAGGGTACGTTCCAGCAGTACCCCGTGGGACATAGACCCTCTCAGCCATAACATAGACACATAGCGACGCATGCCATTCTGCATGCACAAATACACAGTAGGTTAGCATCTAACCTACTGTGTTTATGTGGCATGCACAATGCCGCGGCTATGTTTGCAGCAGGTGTATGGTTCGGACGGTTATGTGGGAAGTGAAGTTGTATAGTCAACTTCACCGTTGTTACGTCAACTTAGGTTAGTAAATCTATGCGCAATGGCTCGACATCTAACTTTTTTTCAGCTGGCCCGATCTGCGGCCACCAAAACTCTATGATTTTCAATTTTTGGTTGGCCCGGAAAATGCAAATCTCGGTGGCCCTGCAATTCTGCCACGATCACGGACATGGGGGGCCTAGGTCCCAGCGAAGCGAACTGCAAGTAAGACTGAGCGATAGGCTCTTCTTCGACTCGTATGCAATGAGCATGGGGCTCATCGTCGTGACAATCTTCGCTTCTTTTCCGCTTCGCCTACGAGCCAAACGTAAGATAATTGTTTCTGATTCATATTTTCTGATGCCGAGTGTGCGAGCGCCTAGCAGCCCCTTATCTCACGTCCCCAACTCTCCTCTCTTTCGATTACTTCTTCTTCTCCTTATTCCTCACCTCTCCCCCTCTCGTCCTCTCCCCTCCCACTCTGCACTCTCCTCCCTTCCTCATCTCGTCTCCCCCTCCCCTCACCGCCTCACTCGACCCCTACTCTACCCTGTGAAAAATATTTGTGGCGTCTAGTGCCCGACGGGGATAGGATATTCTAATAGTCATGAAGGGCGACTTAGAATGAATCATTATTGGGCCGGTGATGAAGCGGGGGGGGTTGATGTATCGCGCGTAAGCTATATCATTAAATTGTTTAAGCCTAAAATTACCTTTAAATCGCTCTTTCACAAGGCACTGAATTAAAAAATTACTTTATTTTTCCTCAAAATTCATCCTTTTAGATTTGAATCGATACAAAAAGCATACATTTATAAGCAAAAATTACCCCCTTATGAAATGCGATGTTCCAAAAATATCGTGCCAACGCACGCCGAACTTTCGAACCGCGAAACTTTTCGAACGCTGGCAGTTCGCTTCGGATCCGAAACATGTGAGCACCAGCTGCACTAGCTAGCAAATTCAGGAGTGACCATTAACGTCCCGGTATTTTTGCCATGTGTCCCGCGTTCCCGTACCGACCCATGCCCCGAGACGCATGTGTGTCACCGTATTTTTAACACATTTTGAACAAAATACTTTTCAAAAAAGAGAAGAAATTTCACACATTTTTTATTATGCACAAACTTGCTTTGCTTCGAAACTCTATCCGCTCGCGTTCATTTTACATACGCCTCCACCAGTACACTGCCAGACAGCGCGTATTGTCTAGACGCATTGCTGGTTGGCTGATTACAAGTAATCACATGTATGCTGGCTGCTTGCAAATATACTATGCCTGCCGCCGCCTCCAGCATTTTGACCTCTGGCTAGACTCGGTCGCACTGTTCGTTGCAGAGCGCTGTACATTGTCTAGCACGACGGTGAGGGCCGAAGATACCAGCTCTCTAACACAAATAACGCTGGCTGTTGCAGCCGCCAGTAGACGATCGATAAAGGGTCCGCGACACACCAGGCGATCCATTCGGCCGATGCATCGGCGTGAAAATCCGCCTGGGAGTGTGTCCACTCAATCGCCGCCGATTTTCAGTCGCACCAGATGCCATCGGCCGATGCCATCGCCACAGATCAAACTTTTGATACTTAGTCGACCCGATGCCATCGGCCGATGCCATCGCCCGAGGCCATCGCCTGGTGTGTCGACGACTGCCCGATCCTATCGGGCGATTGTACAATTCATCAGCCAATCGATTCATTCAGGCCACCGCACTGCTGCCGCGCGCCGAAGAATCGGCGATGCCAGCGTACCCCCGCAGCCATCGGCCTGATGCATCGCCTGTGTGTCCACGACCTGGCGCGATCCATCAGCCCGCATGCCATCGCGCGATGCAATCGCCTGGTGTGTCCACGCCCGTTAAAACCGTATGCGCGTGTAAATGCTGCACGTAGCGTACGCTGTGCCCTCGCCCTCCGAATTGCTCGCTCTCTTTTGAATGAGATTAGCACCGAAGAAACCAATTTATTTTTATCACATAGACTACTTTAAATTTTATGTCCTGATCGGGCCACCAATATTTTTAATTTTGGAAATTTTGGTGGCCCGACATACAAGTTTTGCGTGGCCCGCGGCCACCGGGCCACCGCTAGTGTCGAGCCTGTCTATGGTCAAATCAAATATTAAGACTATTACTGGTACTGGTTACTGGTTATGTCTAGTACTGACAATTGTATTAATTTTTATTAAACCACTAATTTTATTCATGCCGTGTCTAAAAAATGGACGCGCACCCGTTCGGAGTCTTAAAACCTAAACAAACGGGCTCTCTTCTCTCAGATGCGTCAGTTTTTGAACATAACACTATTAACAGGCACAAATATACTAATAGGACAATGTT